AACAGACGAAGTACTGTTACATTCTGATTTAGAGAACCGGACGGTACCTGCCTGGGCATCAATGTGGGCTCCGTGCATGACTAAGAAATCCATGCCCACAATTACATCCCAGTTGATTCATGCACAGATGAACGTGAAATTAGTAATTATATCAGATAGGGAAAGTGCTGTCCTATTTACGCCAAGTGATGAAATGATAGATCCATCGGCGGTAAGGAGTTCCGGGCACTTGTGGCTACTATTGGGCTTTGGTCGTAATAAATCAATAGAAACAATCGAACTAGAAGCACCGGTGTCAACTAAGATGTTCACAGGTTTAGAGTTCAATTGCCCCACTATAATTAGTGGTGAGGACTGTCTAGTAGAAGCGGTAGGGACAGTTGTGGACAACGGGGACTTACTGTTAAGGGAGTTGTGGCTGCAGCGCCTGGCCTTCTCTCCGAATCGCATACAGTAGAAGCAATTCTGAGGGTTTGGTTTGGTTTCAGTGAAGGTCCATATACCCTGTCGATGACGTAGCTTTTTCGGAATTGGGGCTGTATCTCCACTGTCATACAGGTGTTCGTACGGCCGCGCGATTTGGAGGGCGTCACCCAAGGTACGGTCGTCCCTCCGACGAAATTTCGCCTTCAAGCCGGCGTTTCGCACCCCAGCCATGAATCGCTGGACCACGTGCACTTCACTAACCTTTGGCGTTTCCTCAGGAAAATATATCTTTGCAGCCAGGTCTCGGATAGCGTCGGCATAATCATCCGCTGTCTCACCGGGGTGCTGGTTTTGTTAAAAAACGCTCTCGAAAAACCGGCGGTAGCGTGCCAAACATGGAGGCCAATTGTGTCCAGAGAATGTCTGGTGGTGCAGACAATGAAAGGCCTGAATGAAGTACGCGACGGGAGGCGAAGTCATCTAGCCGGGACAGGATGAATTGTCCGTGCTGCTCTGGAGGTACTGACGAAGGGGATGCATTCATTCGAAAGTACCACAGGTAGGGATCGTCGCCCGGGTGGAATATTCCCGGTGGTAATATAGTTGGTTGAATTTGGTGGCCATCCATTTGTGCAATATCAGCCGATATCTTTTCCATTCCGTCTTCAGCAGTGCGCGTCACATTGGGCTTAGCCGACATGTCGCAAATATGAGTCACAGTGCTCACTGTATCCCAACTCTGTCACCAATGTAGCGTGGGACGTCATGAAGTCAGCGGTATTCGACGTTCGAGAGGATGTAGCGACGGCACACGTCAGTTCCTAAATGTGCAGCTATACGGACTGGTATTAATGAATCCACACGATATACGCAGCACACATGCGCACGGGTCGGGTGGAACAGGGAAGAAGACAGGAGTGTGGTAACGACACACACATATTGAGCCGAAACCGTAAGTCGGGATGTACAAGTTTGGTCAAGGTCAGTTAGGGGGATGTACAAGCGGGATATTCTTCCCTGTCCATGGTCCGTGTAGACTGGTCCTTGGTACCTGCAATAGGGGAAGAGGGGAAGAGAGAGACACTCATAATGTCATACGACAGACATACAATCAGGTACAGTCGGGTTTCAAATGCGTCACAGAGGCATACGTAAGACGACGAGTCCGAAGACAAGGTAAAAGAACGGTTTATGTTCAGGTCGAAAACAACAAGGTCGGTATAGACACAGACCAAAATATCAAAAAAAGGGGAATCGCGTTGTACAATATAAAAGGTAGAAGAAAGGAATCAACACCGCCCCCAAAAGCCAGCATGGATTTCCCTAATCTACCAGCTCAACCCACCGCATGCAGGAAGGAGATCAACGAGAATGGTACAATTGCTCTGGCCACAAACGCTGTCCTCAATCTGCAGCACGCTCCTGGGGTGGTGAGC